AAGTGCCATGAACTGCCAAAAAGAACCAATAGATCTGTTTTGGAAGAAGTGCAGCCACAGTGCTCCTTGGAGGCCAGGATGGTTAAGCTTCGTCTCTCATACTTTGGACATATGGTCCGGAGGAAACAATCGTTGGAGAAGGATGTCATGCTGGGTAGGGTGGAGGGTCAGAGAAAAAGAGGAAGACCCCCAACGAGATGGATTGGCCAGGTGGCATCATTGATGGCGTCAAGTGTGGCAGCGGTAGTGAGGTTGGCCCAGGATTGGACACTGTTTCGTTCTGCTGTGCATGGGGTCGCTATGAGTCGGTTCCGACTCGATGGCACCTGACAACATCAACAACAACAGTCTTATGAGGTGGTGATGGTTGCTTTTAAGTTCTGTGGAATTAGTTCCCACGTCCTTTAGGTTCCCAAGGAGCAACTGGTGGGTGTGAACTGCCAACCTTGGGGTTAGCTGTTCGGTTCTTATCCTACATTCTATGAGGTTATTGTTGTTATTGTTTAAATGCTGTTACCCTACAGAGCCGCACCAGGACACCATTCTAGAGGTTGTTGTTGTTAAGTGCTCTCAAGTCAGTTCTGACTCATAGCGATCCTATATAGGGTTTCCAGTGAGTGGCAGGTGGGTTTGAACCACCAACCTTGCGGTTAGCAGTATCACACAGGACTCCTATGAGGCAGGTATTATTAATATCTGTATTTTGAAAATAAGAACACTGAAAGGCGGTTAAATGACTTACTTTAACTTCAAACCCAGATCTGCCTCCAGGGACAAGGCTCCTCACCACTACACTATATATAGTCTGTTGTTGTTGTTGTTAAGTGCCATAGTGCTGGTTCTGATTCATAGCGACCCTATATACAGTTTTTGAGGTGGGTCTGAACCACTGATCTTATGGTTAGCAGTTCAGTGCTTATCCTACAGCACCACACCAGGAGTGCAACACTACATCCTATCCTCCTATGATTAGTTATTGTATTAGGATTGCAGTATTAAGAGTTGTTGGTAAGACGAGTTGCTGGAAGTGGAGAGCGTCTTTTGGGTCTAGAGTCCCTGCACTGTGAACCTCCTGGGCCCAAGGATAGATTGATGCCAAGACATGGTGATTGCCAGGGAACACTGGGCCTACTGATGCTGAAAGGAGATAAGAACCTTCCTTCTCAACTGTGAGCCAACAGAGATTGAAAGCGGTCCCCTAGAGCTGGCCCCCTGAATTCTGACTGCTCGCCTCCTAAACCATCAGACAATGCATTTGCTTGTTAACAGCACTGGTTTGTCATCTTTCGGTTACAGCAGCACAGGATAACCAAGGCAAGATTTGATACCGGGAGTATCTCAGATACCTAAAATGCAGAACTGATTTTAGAATGGGCCAATGAATAGAGGCTGGAAAAATGTTAAGGTGCATAAGCACTCGACCAAAAGGTAGGTCTGTACCTCAAAGTCAGCAGTTCAAACCCACCAGCTGCTCCTCAGAAACCCTATGCAGGGTCACTATGAGTTGGAACCATCTCGACGGCACTTAACGACAATAACAAAAACAATAGTTGAAAGACCTAGTACACCTTGCAGAGACTGTTGGTGGAAGTATGCGTGTCAAAGGCAATTCTGGTGAGGGCTCAGAAGGAAGTGAGGAGAGCAGTAACAATGGAGACAGGGCAGATGGTGAGAAGCAGCGGCAGAGAAACAGCAGCAGCAGAACCAGGAAAAGCTCGCAAGACTGCCTGACACTGACCTTCGGAGCACAGGAGCAAGAGGGCTGAGAGCTGAAAGCTTTCTGCTCAAGTGGGATGCCTCTGGACACTTGGGAGGGGTATTAGGCTAGACTCACAAAGTGAGAGAGCTGTGCTTGTCTTCAGGCTGAGTCTTCCTGGCGGGAGTGGGGTCCCACTAGGCACTTTTCAGTAATGCTTTGTAACACTTGCTGGAGCAGCAGAGCAGAGGCCAGGTAGGTCTCATTATGAGACCAAGGAACAAGGAAGCAGAAGTTGATGAGAAAAGGAGAATGGAAAACAGAGCTGCCTCAGTCTCAAAGGGTAGGACCATGACCTCCTGACCTGGCTACTGCCACTTCTGAGTGTCTAAGCTGTCGTCAATGTTGAAGTCTCCATGTAGCACAATTCCACGGGTACAGACCACTCAGCCACATAGCAGCAGGCTGGGTTATAATCGACCCTTTCAATAATGAAAAGAAATGGATGACTAGACTGCTAACCACAAGGTCAGCAGTTCAAACCAACCAACTGCTCCTTGGAAACACTCTACAGCGTCGCAATGAGTTGCAACTGACTTGACGGCACTCACCAACAGCCTTATGTGAAATGAGCCCTGGTAACGTAGTGGATTATAAACTGGACTGCTAACCTCAAAGTCAGCAGTTCAAATCTACCACTCACTCTATGGGAGAAAGATGAGGCTTTCTGCTCCAGTAAAGATGTATAGCCTCAGAAACCTTATATAGGGTTGCTATGATTCAGAACTGACTCGAGGGCTAACGACCACCACTAACACCACCTTATATGAACTGAAGCACTGGTGGCACAGTGGTTAAGCACTAAAGGCTGCAAATAGAACAGTCAATGGTTCATTCTCACCAGCCACTCCTTGGGAGGAAGAGCTAGCAGTCTGCTTCCATAAAAATGGACAACCTTGGAAAATCTGTGGGGGAGTTCTATTCTGTCCTAAACAGTAACCATGAGTTGGAATAGACAAGACAGCAATGGCTTTGGGTTTCTGGACCATATATGAAGACCACTGGTGGCAACTAATGTATTAGGTTTCACATGAGGGTCTGATTGAATTGATATCACCCCACAATGATCATGAAAACGAATGTGTCCTTTGGGCTAGAGGCATGAATTTTTTCATAAGAATAAAAGTTGATGCTGATGAGTAAAAACAGTGGACTGTGCTGGATCTTTTTCATTTGACCTTACAGATTCATTCTTCACCATTCTCCTCGCTGCTTAATTTCTCAGGAGATTCACTTCTTTGATGGAATGCATTTACGGGTTCCATTACCCTCTGGCTCCCAGTTGGGCTTAGCCAGTTAGAGATACTGACAAGATCTAATGGCAGAAGGATAATGAGGGTAATTACCCCAGCTCTCTTGCCAAGTGTTAGCTAAATCCCTCTACCAAAGACCAAGTTCCTGCTTGGCATATTTCATCTACATTATTTTATCCTGGGGTTCCTGTAACTGCTTCCTCCCCTTGTGCTTCAGTCCAAAGGCTAGTAACCGTTCCCTAAGGTTGTTAACTGTGGGACACTACACATTTCTTGGTTTCTCTTTACCTGCTTAGAGGACACTGAGCTTCTGTTAAGGGTGATGGAAAATTTTGGAAACAGTGATGATGTTGTTAAGTGATGCTGAGTCAGTTCTGACTCATAGCGAGCCCGTATAGGGTTTCTGAGGAATAGCTGGTGGGTTTGAACCATCCAGTGCTTATCCTACAGCACCACACCAGGACTGTACAAAATGATGACTGCAATATCACCAAACTGTACATGTATATAATGTGTAAATGGCTATACATACATATGAGTTGTTTTTAGGTACTGTTGAGTTGGTTCCTACTCATAGCGACACTGTATAGGATTTCCAAAGAGCGACTGCTGGGTTTGAATCTCTAACCTTGTAGTTCAAAGTCCAGTGTTTATCCTACAGTGCCACACCAGAACTCCATACACATATGCAAGGCTTTCAAAATGTTCAAGGAAAAAAATTCCCATCTTTGAATTCCAATTTTCCACAATTTTTTTTGACATCCCATATAGCGTGTGTATGGAGTCCTGGTGTGGCACTGTGGGTTAATGTGCTGGACTGCAAAGTCAGTTTGATCCGTAAGGTCAGCAGCTCAAGCTTACCAGCCACTCCTTGAAAAACCCTTATAAAGGGTCACTATGGGTTGGAACTGACTCAACGGCACTTAACAACAACAACAAAATGTGTGGATGTATGTATACAGTGTTCACCCTAAAGTTCCTTGAAACAAAGACTAGGAATCTATAAGGGAGATTCAAAGAATCTATAGACAAATAGAAATAAAAGAAAATGAAAATGTTCAGCAAACTTTTTGAAGCCCCCTTGTAGTTCTGAAAAATCAGTCATTGTAAATAGTATGGAGCACAGTTCTACTCTGACACACAGAGGGTCTCCAGGACTCAAAGTCCTTTTTTTTTTTTTAATGATTACCACAATAATAATAATAAACACCAAACAGAAAGGAAACTAGTATTTGCAAAATGAAGACTGTCAGGTACTAGAGCTATAACAATTGTGTTCACATAGGGGGTACTGCTCCATTTCACCAAAGATCTCATACAGATAGACTCTGCGAGATTCATTTGGCCAAGGTTACAAGCCAGGAATTGGTGGGACCAGGATTCGAAACCAGCTCTTCAGACTCTCCGGCCACTCTTCTTAGCATTACACCATGCAGAAATGCAAACATTAATTAAATGGTGACCCAGTTGCAGTGGTTGAATTCTCTTACCACCCAGGGATGTACTAGGATTGTGTGTGTGTGTGTGTGTGTGTGTGTGTGTGTGTGTGTGTAGGGAAGGCATGGACAGGGAAATCGAAAAACATAAATGAGTTTTATTCTAGGACAACACCCCCTCAAAAAGAATGCAAATCAATTGCTTCTTAGCGCAGCCATTTAAGGGCAATTCAGGAAGCTTTGCGCAATAAATAATTCCTACTTTTAGCACACTTGAGAGCTTAAGGTAATATGCATAATCAACAGGTACTGTGAATCACAATGGAAAGCTAGTGAACGGTCTTTCAGCTCTAATGTGATAACGCGGTAATTTTTTAAACTGCCTTTCAGTGGAATAGTGGTTACAATTGGTATACGGATCTATGTAAGTGCACAACCATGTGAGCATATAAAATTAACCAGCTCCCTCAGCAGCATAAATAAACGTAAGCACACTATCTGACTCACTCTACGAACAACCACTGAATTAAAACACACACATACACAGAGCCTTACCTTAGATGAGACTATTCTGTTATCACAAAATCGTGTGTTGTAAGTTTCTGTTTCTGAAACTGGATGATTGCCAACCAACACTGTGCGGGTGCCAACTCGCTGCTCTTCTCCAGCACACTGACCAAGAGAAAGAGTGAAAATCAGTTTGCTGTCCCATTTCTTTGTGCTTCTTCAGAGCTCAGAATTCTTGTCTAAGCATGCTTTGCTGTCATCTGAGGAGGTAAAGTAGTTGGGAGAGGAAAACACCTTGCTTGGAAATTCAAGCTTTACCAAGTTCTTGGTTGCTTAATTAGTGAAGACTAGTACACGTGTCACTTGGACCTATTGTTTTCAATCCAACACCTCAATTTGAAAATGTTTCAAGTAAAGTAAATATCCCAGATAAAGTTTTTATCCTCCCTGCCACTTGTTTCCTTTCATCCATTGCCCAAAAGAACCCCAAACATCTTCATCACAGCAGCACCCTGACTTAAGAAAAGGCCAGAAATATTTATCACAACAACCTTGTCACCTACCATATCAGACAGCAGAAGACAGGATGCTAATTACTTCTTGACATTAACTAATCACTTTTAAGTATACAGGTTAAAAATGGAATAATCAACTACTTCTACAAAGAAACTTAGCAATTCTTTGACTTTATAGAAAAGAGATATTCCTCTACATCCTTTCTGAGTGAGTCTATTGTCAAGGTGTCATTTCACACTACATACCACTAAAACCCCTTTCAAAAAAAATTTTTTTTTTAATTTTGAAAACTGTTCACGTCAGTGTATATGATTATGATCCCTCCATGTACCATCAGTTAACAGCATTTACCTTTATTCTATTCCCTTTAACTCTTGCACTCCTCCCTGGGTCCTCCCCTATTTTCAGCTTTCTTCAGCCAACCTCCCTCTTGTAGATTGCCTTCGCAGCCACCCAAGTTAACATGTGTCTATCCTCTAGCCAGTGAACTCTCCCTGCCCTCCCATTCTTGGTAACCATCCAAGAATATGTCTTTTAGCTTGAAAACCTTTTCTTAACTCTTTACAATAGTGGTCCCAAACAATATTTGTCCTTTTTAACTGATTAATTTCACTTAGCATAAAGTCCTCCAGGTTCATCCACCTTGTGGTGCTTTGCAGATTTACTGATATTCTTCAACATCGCATAGTGTTCCATTGTGTGTATGTACCAAAGGTTTGTTTAACCATTCTTCTATTGGTGGCCATTTAGGCTGTCTCCAAATTTTGGCTATTGTGAATAGTGCTGCAATAAACAAGAGTATAAGGAGCTCTGATAGCACAGTGGTTATGAATCGGGCTGTGGACCGCAAGGTCAGCAGTTCGAAACTACCAGCTGCTCCGCGGGAGAAAGATGAGGCTTTCTGCTCCCGTAAAGATTTACAGCCTCGGAAACCCTGTTCAGGGTCGCTATGGGTTGGAACCGATTCGATGGCACTTAACAACAACAACAACATACATATATCTATTCGTGTCATGGTTCTTATTATTGGAGAATATGTACCAAGTGGGTCATAGGTATTTCTATTTCTAATCTTCAGACAAAGTGCCCTATCTTTTTCTACAGTGGCTATTTCATTTTATAGTCTCATCAGCAGTGCAGGAGGGTCCCAGTCCCTTCAAACCTTGGCCAGCATGTTATTCTTTGGTTTTTCTTTTTGAACTTTGCTATTAATGCTGGGGTAAGATGGTATCTCAATGTTGTTTTGATCTGCATCTATCTAATGGCTAATGATCACAAGCACTTCCTCATATGTTTGTTGGCTGCTGAATGTCCTCTTCCGGTGAAGTGTCTATTCATCTTTATAGAAGAGAGATTTCCTTTCCAATCTCTTAGAGTCTACTGTCAAAGTTTCATTTCACCCTTGTTGTTGCTGTTAAGTGCTGTCGAGTCAATTCTGACCCATAGCGACCCTGTATAGGGTTTCCAAGGAGCATCTGGTGAGCTTGAACCACTAACCTTGCAGTTCAAATGACTTTGCAGTGTGACACATTAGCCCACAGTGCCACACCAGGACTCATTTCACCCTACGTACCTCTAAAGTCCCTTTAAAACTTTTTAAAGTAGATCAGCTGAATCTAGAAGTCGAAGATTAGGCTCACCATGTAATTTCACTGAGGCGTCACACTGCAAAGCCATTTAAACTGCAAGGTCGGTGGTTCACACTCACCAGCTGCTCCTCGGAAACCCTATACAGGGTCACTATGGGTGGGAATCGAATCGACGGCACCTAACAACAACATCCTAGAGATGAGGATACATTGGAAAGATGTGTAAAGTTGCTTGGAAATAAAGTATTGTATAAATTTGAGAGCGTATCCTGTGATGATACTAGATAAAGTTTGAGACTAGCAAATATTTAAGAGTGAAAGAAAGCATGACAGAAATCAATATCCATGTATATATTCCCATAATTTTTTTTTTTTTTAAACATCATTCCCAAACTGCTCTGATACAACCACATAGATTTTCCTTGCTTTCAGTGATCCATTTAAAGGTCAAAAGTTTAATTCCTTGCCCCCTCCCAAAATAATCATTTTTAACAAGATTATTTACACCTTGCAAAATTTCCCAAATATCTGCTATTTTTGGATGTCTTCCGGTATGATTTTTTGGTGCCTTATCCTGGTGTGGTACTATGGGATAAAGCACTGGATTGTACGGTCAATTTGAACCACAAGGTAGGTGGGGTGGTTCAAACTCATGAGTGCTCCTTAGAAACCCTACACAGGGTCCCTATGACTCAGAATTGACTCAAAGCCACTTAATAATAACAGCATATGTAGACACTACAGTGAAAAATAAAGAGCTCTGGTAGCATAGTGGTTACAAGTCGGGCTTCTAATCTCAAGATTAGCAGTTCAAAACTACCACTAGTTCCACATGAGAAAGATGGCACTTTCTGCTCCTGTACAGATTCATAGCCTTGGAAACCCTATACATGCTCACTATGAGCCAGAACCCACTCCATGGCACATCACCATCACCACCACCAGAGTGAAAGATGAATTTTTTGGTTTAATAACATAAAATTCACTGCAAATTACAGATAAAATCTTTTACCTCATATTTTCATGGAAGCATAATAAAGGATCACTTTGTAAGGTTTTGTATTTAACATCTGCAGAGAATCACTGGCTAACTTTGGGGATTCCAGGCTGGTATGAGGTAAGGGAGTTTCTGAAAATGTCAGTGAGTATTTGTGCTAGGTGGCTAGCTATTTACCCATCTGCCCAAAGATAGGGCATTAGAAAAACTGATTGTTCAAGGCCCTTTGCAAGCTAAGAATTAGTCAGTGATTCCCAGGGAAATTTTCAAACAATCCCTGGAAACCAGTAAAAAAAAGTACCTTTTCCAGAATGGTAGCTAAATACATTTTGATTCAGAGACTGGTTTCTTTATTTACGCATCAATATACAGGGTCTGATTCCATAATAACCATTTCATAACACTTGTGTTGTTGTTGTTAAGTGCCATCGAGTCGATTCTGACCCATAGCGACCCTGTATAAGGTTTCTGAGGAGGAGCTGGGGAGCTAGAACCACTGACCTTGCAGTTCAAATGGCTTTGCAGACATTGCAGTCCGGCGCATTAACCCACAGCGCCACACAAGGACAAGAAAAAAAGTGAATGCACGTTGCCAAAGGTATAGTTTCTTCTGCCTTCTCCTGTCTTTTGTGGCAGGTGAGAAGAGGTCTCACTGTAGTCTCCACAACAGACCTAACCCTTACAATGTACTGGATTCGAATTACTGATCTATCAAGACCGAATCTACACTACCATTTGCAATTTGTTAAATATTCATCTGGTTGTTTCTGTATTCCCCACAAAATGTGGCTATAAAGAACTTAAAGTTCTGAGGTCATTCTACAAAAGGAAAGGGGAAAAGGACAAAGGAAGGAGAGGGTCAGTGAAGCACCATGTGAATCAGGATGTTTGTGCATTGCCAATGAAGGTCTTTCCCCCTCAATCAACTTGTGGCCATTAATTATTTGAATTCTCAATTGCCTTCTGTGTTCCAGACAACAAAGGAAGGCAAAAATAGAGTGTCCTTTTGGCCTGCGACTTTTATGAATCCCTTGCAGTTGAACAGCATTCACAATTTTGCTAAGAGCTTTCCCTATCCGTTCTCTCTCAACTCTTCTCATCAGGCCTAAGTAACTTCTCTCTCCATTCACTTGGACTGTAGTTGGTGGGGGTGGAGGGCCTCCTGCTGATCCTGGCTGTGATCATTGTTAAAAGATAAAACAGGGGCCTGAGAGAAGTAGAAGAAAGTTCACTACTGAGCATTTTTCTAACCAGGACAATCTTCTCAGTTCAGGCAGCTTTGGGCTGAGCTACCTGAAGATGGGGGTGAAGTAGATGACCTTGGCATGCCTGTAACAGTTTAAAATCTGATGAACCTGCAATCTCTGGTGGAATTTGCTGCAACTGTGTAACACTGTTTGGTTCACATAAAAATGGCAATGCTGAACTCATGTGTAAATTCGCCGTAATTTTCCACTTGCTTCAAGTGTAGTGTTAAAACTGTGGATTTTGTTCCTGTGATGTTGAATAGGAGGCACCTTTGCCAAGGCAGAGAAACTTCAAGTAGGAAGCATTAAAAAAAAAAAAAATCTCTTTTGTATAGTACACAGTGTAGTCTGGAGTAGGAGTTCATGATTCCAGCCACCTCATAATGAAATGTAGCCACTTAAGAGTCCATCCTGTGCTGAACTGCTTCCTGTCCCAATGCCCTTAGGAAGAATATTTTCTTGACTGAAACATGCTGGCACATTGTTGTTGTTAAGTTTCTTCAACTTGGTTCCGACTCATAACGACCCTGTATACGGTTTCCAAGGAAGCGCTGGTGAGTTTGAACCACTGACCTTGTGGTGGAATGCGTTCTCCCACATGCTACAACAGAGTTCCCAAACACTGTGTCGATTTACAACATGTGGATTAACAAGAGAAAGCAATTTAACCTTCTCCCTCAAGACCGAAATCAACCTTTTGTACTCCTGATTTACACCTCCACAGTATACACTGGCGAATCCTGACATGTCAGGTAGGATAAGCACTGGACTGAAAGGTCGGTTTGAACCACAAGGTCGGCAGTCCAAACTTACCAGCTACTCCTTGGAAACCCTATACAGAGTCGCTATGAATCAGAAACTACTT